GTAAATTGAAGTTGTAAAATGCATTCTTTATTGTCTATTAAGGTGGATGGTAGATTTATTTCTTTATGCTTTAAAATATTTTAGTATTTAATATAGTGAATGACAATTTTTTATTTTCACATGTTAAATGAAACATGCATTCCTAGCATATTATATACTTTATATGTTGTTAAATAGAATTTGCTAAAATTTTAAGACTCTCTGCATCTGTGTTCATGGAGGCTACTGATGTAGTTTTCTGTTTTGGTAATTCTGTCTCTGTCTAGTTTGGGTATCAGGACTATGCTTACTTCATGCAGATGGAAGACATTCCCTACTCCTGTATTTTCTAAATGCTTTCATGCAAGATTGACATTGTCTCCCACATAAATGTTTAATAGAATTCATCAGTGAAACCTTATGAAACTTGAGATTTTGTAGAAAGGATTGAAAATCCAATATCTTTATTATAAATACAGGGTTATTAATCTTTTGCTTATTTTATTCTATTATTTATTCATTTATTTTGTTTTGATAATATTTATTTCTCAAGGAACTTGTCCATTTCAACTAAGTTGCCAATTTTTAAAATATTTTTCTAGCTGTAGTTGGACACAATAGCTTTATTTGATTTATTTATTTTTATGTGGTGCTGAGGATTGAACCCAGCACCTCACATGTGCTAGGCGAGCATTCTACCACTCAGCCAGAACCCCAGCCCCAATTGTCAAATTTTTGTAAACATATATATAATATTCCATTATTGATCTTTAATTTTTGTAGTGTCATTCCTAATTGTATTTTTATTTTTCTCTGTATTACCAGTCATGCTATCAATTTATCAATTAACAAATTTGGGTAAGTTTTTTCTATTATTTGTTTTCTAGTTCATATATATTGATTTTTACCTTATTATCCTCTTTCTCTTAATTTAAATTTAGTTTACTTGTCCTTTTCTAGTTACTTAAGTAGGAAATTTTGATCACCAATGTTAATCATTCTTTTTTTACATAGATATTTAAAGCTGTTTCCCACCTAAGCACTCTTTTCATGTCATTCCAAATTTTCAATTGTTGCTTTTAAACAAAATACAACATTTTCCAATTCCAAACAATTTCCAATTCCAAAAAACAAAATTTTCCAATTTTCCTTCCAATTTCTTCCTTGATCCATCAGTTATGTAGAATAATGCTTTCTAATTTCCAAATAGTTGAGGTTTTTCTACAGATTGTTATTGGTTTCTTACTCGTTTCACTGTGATCAGGGAATGGATACTCATATTTTTAAACTTTTGGTATTTATAGGGTCTTATTTTGTAGCTCATAATATAGTTTATCTTGTTAAAAATTCCATGTGCTCTTGAAAAAATTGTATTTTGTAGTTATTGGACATAGTATTCTTTATATGTCAATAAGGCCAGGTTGTTAATAGTGCAATTCAAATCATCTACACCCTTAACTGACTTTCTGAGTATTGTCAATGACTGAGGTAGGAGTATCAGAATCTATAACTATGGTTGTAAATTTGTCCCTTTAATTCTGTCAGATTTGGCTTCGGGTATTTTGGAGCTATGATCTTACGCTTTAAATCCTCTTTTGTGTTAAATAAGAGAGAGGAAAAGGATATAGTCTTTTATATTTAACCACATATACACCATTTCTAGTGCCTTTCATTCCTTCCTGCAAATTCACACTTCTGTCTACTGACATTTCCCTTTAACCTGAAGAAATTTCTCTCTCAGTACATTTATGCCAAATTCTCTACATTCTTATCATTGCAAAATATCTTAAAAGTTTCCTTTATTTTTGAGGTATATTTTCACTGTATGATCATTATGTTTGCAGAATTTGTCAACTTCTAATGATATATTGCATATTATCCACACTCTCTGTGAAGGGCACATTCATGTCATCATTCCACTGTATGCAATAGGAATTTTCTCTAGCTTTTAAGATTTTCTTTTATTTGGCTTCTTTTTCATTGTTTCATTATGATGGGAACTATGTGTAGTTTTCTTTGCTTTTATCCTACTTGAGGTTTGTCCAAATTATTGTATCTACAAATTTATATTTTTCACCTACTGGCAGGGAATTATTTCCATTAATACTGTCCCATGTTTCATTATGTTTTTACCCCTCTGATCTTTCTCTCCTGTCCTTGTAGGACTTTATTGACATTTATTTTAGACTATTTGATATAGTTACACAGGTCACTAAGGCCCTAATCTTTCTATTTTTTTTTCATTTTTTCCTGTGTTCAGAGATCTTTTTTTTTTACTTTAAATCTTAAAGTTCATTGACCTTTTTCTTTTTTTAAATCTCAGCTCTGCTATTAAGTCTATCTGATAAATTTTTCTTCACTGAAAAATTCTGACATCAGTATTATTTTAGAGTTGATTTTCAACTTGGTAAGTTTTAATTGCATACTGGATAGTGTAGGTAATATATAGAAATTTTGGATTCTCTTATCTCTATCTGAAAAGTATTGAATTTTTGTTGTAACAAACTGTTAGCTAATGCCAGGCATGCTGGTACATGCCCATATCCCAGATACTTGGTAGTTTGAGGCTGAAAGATTAAAAGTTTGAGATTGGCCTGAACACATTAGTGAGGCATCATCTTAAAATAAATGGTATCATTTGGATCTAAAACTGCCCCCCAAAGAGCCCATGTGTTAAGCAATGTATCAATGGTCATAGGTTAAAATTGAATTATAAATGGAGTAGACTAATCTATTGGATGTATTAATAATTTGAATGAACAACTGGGGGATAACTATGGACAGATGGGTTTGACTGAAGTAAACAGGTCAATGAAGGCATGGCCTTCGACTATATTTGTCCCTGGCCCCTTCTTCTCCTCCCCTCTACTTTCCATCTGCCATGAGCTGAGTAACTTTCTTCCATCATGCCCTTCTGCTATCATGATCTGCTTCAACTCAGGCCTACAGCAATAGAGTCAATGGACCATGGACTGAAATTCTGAAATCATGAGCTTAAATACTTTTTTTCTCCTCTAAGTTGTTCTTGTCAGTTATTTACGTCACAGTGACAAAGATTTGACTGATACTAAGTTAAATAACATAAAAAGGATATTGCTTAGTGGTAGAACACTTTTCTAGCATGTATGAGGCCCTAGGTTCAACCCCCAGTGCTGAAAATATAATAGTTGAATCAGGTGAACTCAAACTTAAAACTGTTTTGCTTTCAATGAACTGCAGTTAAATCTATGTACATGTACTTCCATCATTTTTTTTTTTTTTTTGGCTGGGTAGTATGACTCTTCCCTATACCTATGAAGTTCAGGATTTAACCATGAATTTGAGTGGAATCTTTAAGCATATTTTTAAACTCTCCTGTCTTTGTTTATTTCTACTCTAGCACATCTTCCCTTACTTTCAAGCCTTTCTGGCATCCTCAACTCTTTCTCTTGAAATCTCAAAGCATTCTAACTGTGGGTTTTTGTCAGGGTTGTAGCCATCCTCTAACATGCACACATGGGGTATACTCAGGAAGAAAAAATATAAATTTAAATTCACCTAATGTTTATTCTTCTTAATTTTTTTTAGTTGTAGATGGACACAATACCTTTATTTTTATTTATTTTATTTGTATGTGGTGCTGAGTATTGAACCCCGTGCCTCACAAGTTGTAGGCAAGTGCTCTACCACTGATACAACCCCAGCCCATAGTGTTCATTCTTTTTTAAAGAATCCTTTCCACTTTATTCCTTTGGCAACTATCCTATCTTATCAATTAGATATTATATTTTGTTCAGAGTTTTTAATTCTTATCTCCAGATAAATTAATGTGATAATAGTCACTGCACTATGATGTGGAATGAATCCCTCTTAGTCTTTTTATCACTACAGAAAACACTCTTACTACAAAACTATTTCCCTCAAACTAATGCTACTCATGTAAGTGTTCCATGGAAAATTATTTAATTAATATTAATGGGTATTCTGTTGGGAAAATAGGGATTACAAAGGTCAAATGGGCTTGAGAATAAAGAACTGCAAAATAATCAAACAAGTGGTTTTCTTTGATCTAGGACATTTAAACATCTTACTATGCTAATTAATCTTCCATATTCCTAAGTGGAATATACCCTTATGGCATTATCCCAAACTTTTCCATATATAATTAGTAGAACCATTCACTTATTCATTCAAAAACATTTATTGAACTCCCAAAAGTAGAGACCAGAGTGAGATTCTCCTCCTAATATAATTTTCTTTAGTTTAAAATTCACCAATTCACTATCCTTTTTTTATTTTTTGAATTTTTATGTAAGTCACTAACTTACAATGGCTAGGTTTAGGCTATTTAATACTCGCCTATTCTTGCTTTATAGTCATCATATCCATACAATAGGAGGTGCTGCTACAGGAAAAGGTAAAAATAGACATTCACCTATCAATAATTTGCAGAGACTAAAGAAAACTACATGGAATTGCCTAGCTTGGTATCCAGCACATCTTAGTAGCTTGATACATGTTTAATTTTTTAAAGTATTCTCTTCCTTTTGCCTATTAAGTCAGTGACTTCAACAAGATTAATAAGGGTAGATCAAAGTTTTCAGGCCAAATGCAGTTAGAAGCTTATTTTGTTTGGTCCAAGAGCCAAGAACTTTCTTGGTCACTTTTAAAAAGCTGTTTTTAGAAAGGAAAGAAGAGCTAGGATGTAGCTCAGTAGTAGAGTATTTGCCTAGTGTGTCTGAGTCCCTGGGTTTCAGTTTCAGCATCTCAACAGCAAACACACACACAAACAGGAAAGAAGAAAATGTGACACAGACCTCATGTGTCCCACAAAGCCTAAAATATTTGTTACATGGCCTTTTATAAGAAGATGTTAGCTGATCCCTGAGATACAATCCAATCTTTATAAGTTCTCAAAATAAACAGGAGAGTAGAACTTGTTTTATTTATTTACATGTTCAGATAGAAGCCCTATTTTGAAAATGTATTAAAAAAGTATTTTACTGGTTTTACTAAGCTTTAAAAGGCCTCTCCAATCTTACCTTTTCCCCTTTTATACCATTACAGTCACACTTTGATCCTGAAGAACATCCATAGCAAGCCTATAAAGAAAAGAAACAAGGGAAATAATTAAATATGAAACTGAAAATCAAATTCATGACTTAGAATTCAATGGAACTCAGTAATCCAAACTTTTAAAAACAGTGAACTATCTGAAAGGATATATAGAAATGACAAACAACAGTTACCTTTGGGGAAGCTCTAACCTTTTATTATATACATTTATGTTTGAGCTTTTCACAATGATCTAATATACTTTTTATCATTCTAAAGAAAGATATATCTTTTTAAATAAAGAGGATAAAATGAAAAAGAAATTCATATAACTTCCTTATAATGTGATTTGTCACATGTCCAAGTTCTAGAAATTCCTTTGTTTTTCTCCTAATATTACTTTAAAGAAGCCACCTCTCTATCTAAATTAGCAATCAATTTGGCAACTAGTCAAAGATAGCTCCCACTTGAAGTCAACTTGCTTCTTTGCATTCATGAGCAGTCATGGCACACAGAATACATAATGCTGTATTTTACCACTTTTTTTTCTTTGTCTCTACTCCCCCATCACTAACAGCAGCTCAACCTCTAACAGCTCCAAGCTTTACCAAAAAAGCTGCTTCCACAGCCTAAATGTTCTAAATAGCCACAACTAACACCTTAATTCGCTCATATTAGGAAGTAAGGTCCTAAAACAAACAAAAAAAAAAAAAACAACTTCCTCTAAAATAAAAGTGTACAGTAAATAAGAAGAAAGTAGGTAACTTCTGCCATCCATAGCTATCTTTTACTCTGGCATGAAGCTGAACAGCTTAGAAAAACAAATAGTAATTAGTGTAACTTAGGTTGACAGCTTACTACTTATGTACAAGAACATGGCATGCTTTTCATCAAAGAGATCAACAAACTAACTTAACTGAAACCTTTGTATGATGCAAAAGCCAAATAAAGTTCATCCATTAGTGCTCAATCTGAAGAGTCTGTGGCTTAAAAAGTGCCTTTCCCTCCTACTCAACATTCCATACTTTCTTTTCTTTCTACTTTTTTTCCCAAGGCAGTTTACTGTAGTCACATCCCCAGTCCCTACCCTTTTGTTGAAACAGGGTCTCCTAAGTTGCTGAGGCTGGCCTGAAATTTGTGATCCTCCTACTTCAGCCTTCAGGGTTGCTGGGATTACAGGCTTATGCCGGGCTCCGTGCTTCCCTTTCTTTAGTCTACAACACAGCATCTTTCTGAATCCTTATCAACTAATGCAGCTGAAATTAGAAGCCACCCTCATGCTGAAATCTCTTTTCCTTATTATAAAAGCAAACCACAATGGCTTGAAGACAGAGGATCTCTCAATCAACTGCAAGAGGCTATTCTAGTAAAAGATGTACTCTTGACACTTCTAAATCAGTCTGTCAGGCAGCCATTATTTATTTATTATAAATAGGTGATTAGATTGTACACTGATTTTAGTGTTAAATGTTAACTACATTACAGTTTTATTCAGACAAACTCATTCATCATACATGAAGTGAGCATGATTACAGGCCAGAAAATTTTTTAGGTATGAAAGATATAAAAATGAATAAGATGCAACTCATGTTAACATAATTCAACAGATACTTATTGATCACGTGTTGTTTTGTGCCAGCCACTATGTTAAGTGCAAGCAGAAATACAAAGACAGTAAATCTTTGTTCTTTAATAGAAAGAATAAACCTATATACAAAAATTACATTATAATGAGACAGAAACAGGGGTTAATTTTAAATATAAAATATTCTTTGTAAAAAAATAAATTTTAGATTGTGCACACTCTCAGCATCCAATTACATGCATTAATAGAGGTGCAAAGGTTACTGCAAATCCAAAATGGCTGTTAATGTAAGAATAACATTTGAAGTTGAATGAATGACTACACACAATATGTGAATATATGTGCATAAGGGTTTTTTGTAAGTAGAAGATGGTATAATTTTGCATATTCAGTCTTTACGGGGAGATTTTCCTCTTTAAAATATGAATTAAAGATTCTGAGAATAATGCAAAGCAACTGGATAATAGGATTTCATTAATATGGAATAAAACTATGTGACTTCTTTACAATATTTTTCACTAATCAGTGTCCAAAAATCTCAGTATAATGTATAAACAAACAAAACCTTTAATGTTCTTCTGTGTGATTTTACAAGTGATTTTATGCAATATTTTTCTTAAAAATTGGTAATTTCATCTTTTTTATACATCTTTATTAATTAACTTGTAGTTTTCTTTAGAGAGATCACTACTTGAAACATTTTGGAATTATAGATAAATTTTAAAAATAAATTTTAAAGTTTAAATTTTGAATTTTATTTATTCTGCCTAGCTTATGGGAAGGACTCTGGTACTCATGGGTTAAAAACAAAAACCAGGCAACTGTAATACACACACCAACCACTAGATGCCACTTTCTATACAGTTATAACAGTGGCACCCACAAGGAAATAGCCCTAATTAGACATCTGATTAATGGAGTAACTTTTTTTAAAAACCAATTTCCATTAATATTGATTAAATGCTCAAAGAGTACAAAGCACAATATTATGTCTATGAGCTGTACAAAAATGTGTAAATGTAGGTGCTGCCTTTAAGGAGCTTCCAATCTAGATTTTAAAAAGAAAAAAGAAAAGAAAAACTATGCACAAACAAATTTAAATTAGAATAAAATGAAAAAAAAATGATAAGACAGATAATGGTAATGGAAAAAAGCACTAACACACAAGAAATATTCCCCTAGTTTACTTCAGAAGTTGAATCATTACAATCTCATTGACAAGCATTCCCATGCTCTAGGATCATTTTTTCACTTGTAAAAATGACATACATAGACAATATGATCTAATTATGTAGCTTCCAGATTCCACTGTGATTCTGTTAGGATCCACCAAGCAAAAATAAGTGTATAGTCAATAATTCTTAACACAAATTCCCTTGAGCCCGAGAGTATTAATAAAAGGTTGGTAAAAAAAAAAGTGAATACCTAGACTTCAATTCAGAAAAATGGACAGAAAGATATCTAGAGGCAAAATGACCATATTAAGCACTAAGATTTTAAAAAATTGAATGAGGCAAAGAGGTAAAATTAACATTTACAGACCTCAGTTTGAAATTCATTTCCTAAGTAAATGTGGAAAAAAATACTATCATAGGAGATAAGGCTAAACTATGATCTTTTCAATACTGTGGAAAATTAATTCTACAAAATCACACAAAACAGTTAAAGCAAGAAAATTATTGAATTATAATAATCTTTTAAAATTTTATTATGGGAGAAAATAATAAAATAAAAATTAAGGAAGGTTTTGCATTCGCACTTAGTAAAACACATCATAAAACTATAATAATTAAAACAGTGTGGTATTACTCAAAGAGTGGTAGCTTAACTAACTAAAATACTAAGGCCAGAAAAGACACACAGGTGTACGGACCCCCTACACACACATTTACTATATTATAAAAGTTGGCATGTCAAATCAATGTGAAATTAATGAGTCATTTAACATATGGTGCTGGGATAAGTACAGAAAATTATGAATTTACATCTTAGGCCACTACAACAAAAGTATATATTTGAGTATTATCCAAAATGTTTGGAACCAAAGTGTTTTTAATTTTCAACTATTTTTAGATTTTGGAATATTTGCTTATACATAATGAAATATTTTGGGGATGAGACGCAAATGTAAAAATGAACTCATTTATATCTTATATAAACCTTATACACATAGCCTGAAGGTAATATTAAACAGTGTTTTAAATACTCTTGTACATGGAGCAAAATTGCACTATGTGGAAATTTTTCCCTTGTGGTATAATGTCAGAGCTCAAAACCTTTCAGATTTTGAGTTTCAAACTTTCAGATTATGAATACCCAACTATAACAGGTATTAGATTTAAAAGTACAAGTAAAAAGCAAACTTGCAGCCCAATACAGTGGTGCACACCTGTAATCCCAGCTACTCCAGAGGATCTCAAGTTAGAGGCTGACCTGGGCAATTTGGCAAGACCCTGTCTAAAAATAAAATTTAAAAGGCTGGTGATGTAACTCAGTGGTAGACCACGTGCCCAGCATGTAAAAGGCCCTGGTTTTAATCTCCTGTACTAAAATGAAAACATGCAAATTCCTGGATGCATTAAGATTACCCAAAGAACCTTGTAACAATTCAGATACCAGGAACCCATCCTAAAGTTTGTTTCAGTAAGAAATAGAAGTTGACCAAAAGAATATGTAATTTTCATTTCATTTCATTTCTGACTGATACATAATATTTGTACATATTTATGAGGTACAATGTGAGAAAGAGTAAGAGGAAGGAGGGAGAAGGTAAGGCCAATCAGTAGGTACAATGTAGTTTGGTAGAAATAAGTTCTGGTGTTCTATGGTGCAACAAGTTTTAAATAACAATAATGGATTATGTATTTTAAAATCCTCTCTTATGTAACAGGAAATGGTATTGTTTATTTAAATTTATTTATTTACCTATTATAATTAGGTATATATGACAGCAGAATGCATTTTGATTCATTGTACACAATTGCAGCATAACTTTTCATTTCTCTGGTTGTACACGATATAGCATCACACCATATGTGTAGTCATACAGGTACCTAGGGCAATGATGTCCATCTCATTCCACCATCTTTCCTGCTCCCATGCCCCCTCCCCATCTCTCCCTCCCCTTTCACCAATCATAGTTCCTCCATTTTTCCCATACCCCACATTTTATGGATCTGCATCCACTTATCAGAGAGATTATTTGGCCTTTGTATTTTTGTAATAGGCTTACTTCACTTAGTATGATATTCTCCAACTCCATCCATTTACCTGCGAATGCCATAATTTTATTCTCTCTTTATGCCAAGAAATACTCCATTGTGTGTATATACCAGTTTCTTTATCCATTCATCTATTGAAGGGCATCTAGGTTGGTTCCACAGTTCAGCTACTGTGAATTGAGCTGCTATAAACATTGATGTGGCTGCATTACTATAGTATGCTGACTTTAAGTCCTTTGGG